TCATAATACAGAACACTTTATCTCCCACAAACAAATTGATGGGAAACATTTCCTTTGAATGATTCATTTTATTCAATTTTGTTATAAGCTTTGGCATAATTCCAAACAGCATTGGCAATTTCCTTTTCAGATCAAGACATCTGCAAATATTTAACAGGATGGTCTGATTAAAAATAAAACAATCATGACAAATGCATTAAACAAAGCAACCAAAATATGGGGGCATTGTGACATCAAATTAAGACACATAAAACTACAGCAAGATTTTTTAAAAGTATTTGGGGTTTCAGAAGTGCTGTAAATCAACAAGCCTGTTGTGAAGTGCAAAAGTACAAAAGTCACACCAAATATTTACTTTACACAAGCCTTTAAAAAAAAAGATAATTCTAATAATTTAGATATACTGATGCTACCTGATTCTAGGGAGTATAAAAGATTATGACAACTGGGAAAGTAAGAAAATGACTACACTAATTAAGAATTTGTTTTCAAAATATTAATTAATGGTTAACAACGGTAAATATCGGGTTCTGAAAATTGTTTACTGGAAAAACGCCTTTAGGAACAATATAAACACCAGAGAAAAGTATTAGAACAGAATGCTCATTTTAAAATAGCTTTCCCCTATTCCTATTGTTTGTCTCTGGTCTTTTATCACTGTCAGTTTGTTCATACACAAACAGCTCATGAATATAAAGGGAGTGGAAAAATCAGTACTACTGTATACAAGATTACAGAAAAATTAAATGAGCAAGTACTTCCATCTCTCTGCCTCATCAAAGTATATATTTTAAGCTTGCGAAATATCCTATATATGCACTCAAAATTCTCAGCATACTTCAATGCTACAAGGAGTAAGACATTCCTTTTCCTTTTTTTTTAAGTGATTTTTAAGTGATTTTTTTTCTCCTCACTGGCCACAGAGGAATTGCATTAGGACATAGTCCTTTTTCCCTACATCCGCCTACGACAAACATTTGCTGCAAGTCAGCGACTCCAAAACCAAATTGTTTACAATTAACTCAAAAAGCCATTAAAAAATTGTTTCTTTGTTCCAGTTGGAAAGAGAGAGAGCCAGATGTGTGGCTTGTTGATCTTGCTCTTTGCTGACCTCTGAGTGTAGGAAGAACTGCAGCTGAGGAAGGAAGTCAGCAAGTTGTGTTAATGAAGGTGAACATTGCAAAAAAGGGCTTGCAATTTTTTTCATTAAAAAAATGTATTTGAAAGACTTTTTATTAAAAAAGAGATAGTACAAGGCCTTATTTTTTCCTGTGGATGAAGAATTTGAGCCTTTGTTTCAGAAGAATTAACTGAGTTTGTGTCTTTTGCTACTTTTGAAAAATGTTGCCCTTAATTTCAAAAACTTCATGAAGTTTCATTGAGGTGCCTGTAAATTAGCAGACAACTCATAATTAACGCCTGCTGGAAAACCATCATTCTTTGAGGATGTAAAACTCAGGAAAAGCCTTTCAATTTTAGGTTCTGAGTCACAGTCTAGCACTACCGACCAAAATCTGGCATAAAGCTGAATTCCAGATTGAGAGTGTGCCCAGTTCTTGGGAAAGCACATCTGCCCAACAATACAAGGCAATCCCGACAATTACCACAGTACTTTTCTTCACAGTTCTCTCTGAAACACATTTATGCATTGTATCTGTAAAATACCTGGCAATGAATTAACTAGAGGTCTGTGTTAAAAACTTCATTACGTGGTACTCCTCATAACCGTACAGAACATGTCTGCACAAGATACTCTGTGAGATAAAAACAGGCTCGAAAACTGAACGGCAGCAGGTGTGAAACATTATCAACTTGTTTATAAACTTTTAATAACTTTCTAAAATAATGTTTGAAATGCATTCTGAAATTCTACAACCACAGTGCTCCTCTTTTTATCAAGATACCTGAGATGTTAGTAAGTTATCATGGCCTAAGGTAAACTAAGGACACATTTGTGTGTGGAGTACAAATTCACTCCAGAGATTCAACTTCATTTATTCATTCTGGCACTCAACATCAATCCTTAAGCAGTTAGTGAAGACTGCTTTAGACATCCAACTTAATTGTCTGGATTAGGCTAAATGTTTGATCTTGTTCTCCCTGCATTGCTAACTTCATCTTAAACACTTCACACTACTTTTGGTGGAAAATGATGCCTAATTCTTGTCAAGCAGTTACTACTTTAAGAACATATTTAACATGTAAAGACCTGAATATAATCACAGTTCATCTTCCAACTGTCTATTATGATATTATTTAATTAAGAAACTTTCCAAAGTATTCTTAGAAAACAGGAAATTGAAAATGAAAAACAGTTTACTCCCTTCCCACCCCATATTCTCCTGCTCCCAAGGTCATTTCAAAAAAAACCAACAGTAATAGATCACCATATACATGTATACACAAAACACTTCTGAAAACAGTTATACTATTATTTAATCTGATAGGGACATTAAAACTCTGGAGAACTAAAGCAATAATTCATGTCACATTTTTCAAAAGTAAGGAATACTGGCCATTTTAAAAACAGTCTACAAGATTCAATTTTCCTCTTTGCACTGACAGAAATGAAAACCTTATCATGTAAAGTTCCCAGCACAGCTCAAACAGCTCACACTTCAGAACACAAAAAATTGCTTCTGCTGTACTGGTATTTAGAATTTAGTATTGGCTTTTCACTTTTATATTAAGATTTGATTTTCAGAACTTTTCCTTTTAGAAACAAAAAAAAGTATCTTGTATTTAGTTAGTCTGAAAAAAAATATTTTTAAGATCAGTAAAGTCCTATTTGAGGGTTTCATTTTGAAAAAAAATCTTAACTGTAAAAGGTCTAACAGCCAACAGTTAGGACTTCAAACATATATCAGGTTAAAAAAAAAAAACTAACTAATTTTCTTGCCAGGTGTAATTCCAACCAGTTTATTACCTTCTACCAATGAACTTAATACAAACAGTTAATCATGCTATAGTAGTATTAACTTTATACGGAATAATATTAAGTAGTCCATAATCTTTATTTCCTTATTTCACTCCCTTTTTTTTCCTCCCCATTTCCTGTTTTCTTCTGTCTCATCAAGAGTATTCATCTCCACTCCTACCATTTTTCTTTTTATTTTTCCTTTTCCTTCTACTTGTCCTGTCTCTAAGATTTCCCTTCACCTCCTCTCAGTCCCAGACACTGGAGTGGTTAAGTCCATGCTGAACACCTGGATTTCAGATTCTCTCCTCTCTGGATCAGGATCATCCTGGGCCATTAATCTTAGTTGAAATGCTATTATAAAATTTAATAGGTATGTCATTTGCATAATTCCTATTTCAACTCCCATATGACTGTAACCAAATAGGAGATTGGAAGCTCTTTTAACAGAGAAAGTAAAACCTAAAAGTAAAATATGCAAAATAAGTTTGCTGGTTTGCTGGTTGTGTATACAGTCCTTACAAGTTCACATCAGTAGTTGAAAACACAGAGAATAATTTTCTACTCTGTAGAAATTGTCAAAGCTCTGATTGCAGTCTTTCATCTTAAGTCTCTCCTGCCACCCCTCCCATCCACCTCCTCCCTTGGACCTGGGTTTGTGGACCCATCCACTGAAATAAAACAGGAATATTGCTGTCTTTCAGCTATGCTGGTTCCACATCCTTTGTAACCTTAAGGTGATGAACCTCTACACCTTCCACCTCTGCAGGTGGCTTTATTTCTTTTGAACAAACCTCCACATGATCAGCAAACACCTTTATTTTGACAGACTGCCTTGACTCCACCTGGGTACTGTGAACCTGCTTTGACAGAAACCCAGTCAGGCTGCTGCTGTGTTGGGCTTGTTTTCACCTGCAAGTGGAAGTGTTTGTGGTCTTTTGCCCACAGCACCACTTGCTGGATGCCCCTCACAGCAAGGTGAATTAATGACAGAATTCACTGTTACTAAAGCAGGGTTAACTCAGAGAATCCCGTCCATACTCAGTGGCTTCCATCTCTCTGAGAAACCACTGGATCAAAGCAATCATCTTGCACAGCCTTACTACCAACAGTACGGTTAAGATACCACTGCCTTTCAGATTTTAGGTGTTATATGCTGCAAGCAGTCCAGGTCAGATGTCCTGTCTGCTTCACACTTCCCAGGAATCCAGGAAGGGCTGGCGAACAGCACTGTTTGGGTCACAACCAGAACCGATGTCCGTGACTCTCAGCCCTGCAGCCCTGGTGCAGTGCTGACCACAACTCAGCTGCATGTGAAATGTGACAGAGATGTCCCTTCTGGTCCCTATAACCTTTGTAGAAAGCACAACCTCTAGTATTTCACTAAGAAGTAGCTTGTTTCCAGTGACAAATTTTCTTGTAATTACATCTACAGATCAAAACCTTCTAGTTTATTTCTATCACCCCGCTGCTTCCCCCTCAGCTATTGAAGTTTGCAGCTGTTCACAACCTCTTAATAGTCCTTTTCATGTATCCTTTTCTCGGAGCAGAGAGAAATAAGAAGTTTAAAGCAAATAGAATGATTTGTTACTGCAGGTACTGGCACTGATTCCCTTGTGTTGATACCAGTACTTGTGTGAATCTGCAGTGAGCTGATGCAGAGGCCTAAACTGACAGAAGAGTAATCCTCCGGGAAGCCTTTGCAATCCCACAGATTTTCAGCAGCAAATTCCCTAAACCACTACATCCTGCTGAGTGAAGGTGTTGATGCAAGAGAAGGGGCAGACAGCACTCAGCTAACTCCGCAAGGTGGCAATGAGCTAACAGAACAACTATACACCTGATCACAAAATAAACTCCTGTACATGTATTGACCATACAGAGTGGCTGGTGTGGTCTCTCTCAGGGAACATAGACATTTCGGACAAATGAGCACTTAAAATCTCAAGTTACATTGGACTCATTCAACAAACACATAAACAGTGCATAAAGCAAAGTCCAGCATACTGCACTCTTCAGCTTTCTCACAACTCACATATAAAAGGAAGAGGGCACTTAACACAAACCCACAGTTATGTCTTACCTAGAAATAAAGTGGTTCCAATTCACATGCAAAAATCCAAAGAGGCGATGCTAAACATTCAACGTCCGTCTGTCATGAAAAACATTCAAGATTACACTTGGGGTCAGCTTCGCTCTTCCCTATCTCAATTTCGCAATAAAACTTTCTAGTTTAAAAAAGAAATTTCCATGAGAAATGGAGGTTATTCTATTGAAAGTGAGATTTGTAACTCCCAAAAATTTTTGTAGTCATACCATTAAAAAATGCAGCTGGGTTGAAATAATCAGGTATTCAAACTAAATTTTATATCATATAATTCTGCTGAATAGATGCAGCAGATAAGTTAGATTTTATAACGAGCTGTTGCCAAGACTGGTACAGCCAAAGGAAAATAATGTGCACTGATAGTGGTATGCATTATATTAAGAATTAAAAGACATAATGATGAAATCATGGAAACGGAATACATTTCCAAAACATTTAGCAATTTAGTATAAAGCCTATATTTATTTAAAGCAATATTTATAATGAAAAAAGTCCAGTTCTAAGCAGTTCTAAGTTCAGAAATTAATTTTCCAATCTTTTGAAACTACTGAAATAGAGAATGTAATTTAAATGCCCAATAGAGATAATTTCATTTTCCAAGTGTTGGGGCAGGGGACGTCACTAGAAAAACAAGGAGACCAGGTGCTTCATAAGGTTCTATACAGCTATTTTAATACTACTTTCTCAACTCTCTAAATAAAATAACTTAAGAGAGATGCAAGCTTGCTCCCAGAATAAAGGTGAAAGTAATAAGTAAAATAAGTCCACTACAGAAAAGCTTGGAAGCGAACTTCAATTTCAACCACAACCTTAATAATGGTAATAGAGCTCCCCAAACACTTTTCCCAAATATTGAGTTTCACTATCCTCATAGCCTCAGAGGTCAAGCCATCCCGTCCATAAATCAGCTTAATTCAGCTTCATTAGGTTTTGGCTTTGAAAAACACATGGTTGTGTTTCTGCAGCTATATTTATAAATATGTGACTAAAAACTTGGTTTAATCTAATTATGGACTTTTATTCATTTAATTTCAAAATAGTAACCTTGATTGCTGCCTAAAGAGGAATTATCTCTCGAAACTCATGTGGTACAGTACAGATTGGGTTTTTTCCCTAAAAATACATTCCTTACTGCAAATTGTAACAATTCATTATAAAAGCAGATTATATCAAAATGTAATACTAATTTCCCAAGTAGAACACCCACACAGGGAACTAATTAGGAATTGCTCCTCTGTGTAAACAGATCTTTGTACCAATTAGTAGCTGGTCAAGTCAGGGAACTCCCTCTCTCTAGGGGAAAAACAATTTTTTTTTTTTTTCGCATTGATTTATTTTGCTTCTGGCTGCAAATTCTCTCCAGTTCTGTAGCAATGCATGGTATTTGCAACTCATATTACAGACGCTTTGATGGGAACTCAGTCAAGATCTGGAAAAAAAAATGGTAGTAGAAGACCCATAAAAATCACAGAACCAGGACTTCAAACGGGATGTGAACAAATCCTGCTCTCTGCCTAAGCCAATTCTGTCCCAAGGGTTTAGACAGACCAGAATAATAACAGTGAAATTACTCAAAACAAACAGTGGAGTAAATGAAAAAAGTACATGGGAAGAAGAATTCTCAATTGTTGTTCTATAACAAGAAAAGCAAACAAATAAAAACCTCAAGGCGAGAATATTATGCCCAGATAGCGTTCTGAAAGCATCAGTGAGGTGCAACAGCAAAACTGCATAAAGGATGGTATTCAATGAGGGCTGAGCATTCATTTATCATTGATGATGTTCAAATCTGCTCCACAGCTGTTCTGTGCAAGTCTGAAAGGATGAAAGGACCAGAGTTGACTCTTACCTTGTTGAAGATGATCCAGAGCCTTCCCAATACTTAAACAGAGGCTGCAATCTGTGGATTTTAAAATTTATTTAAAAGGATCGTTATTAATGAAACTGCTTTAATTAATGAGTAAAAATCAGAAAAGTTACTTAAATGCCTTCAATGGAGAATAACTTCCACTTTTTCAAAAGCAAAGAGTACTCTGCAAGGCGTCTTCTACTGTGCATTGCTTCCAGAGCCAAAGTTCAATTAATCTCACACTAGTGCACACCGGGGTAGTGAAGGACTGCTGCAGGACAGGGAAAGGACTGGCAGTAGTGTACAGAACCCAGACACCCACCCTTAACCACAGAGCAGTGATGGAGTACGAGACAACTCCTGACCCTCCAGTGCTACAGGGCTGCACAAATCAGCTCTAAATACCACTATTTAGTACAGCATTTACTGCCTGAAGATGTAAGAAAACATGTCCCCTTCCCTCTTGACCCAACAACAAAAATCACAGGTCTGAAAGACTCTGGAATTCCAGCACTTGTTACATTTATATAGAAAATGTAAAAAAAAAAAAAACCAACTAAATTTTGGAAAGAAAACCGCAGCAACTATCAAGGAGAACCTCCTGTTCATCTGAGTTATAAAACTACAAAACCTTTGCAACTTATACAGAATAGCTATCCCTCATAATAGCATAACTCAGGTAGCAGCTAGGACTGAACTAGATTTTTAATCAAACACAGCATTCTGGAAGTCTGCTTTTTAATATATTAAAAAAATTTCTCAGATATCTAAATTTCGTTCACTATAAAAAAAAAAGAAACACAAAATCAAATGGGATATAAAAACAATGTCAGTGTAATTTACAGGGTTAATGTGATTAGCAGGTATAAAATGGGCATTAAAAAAAAGACTACAAACAGATGCCAAAAACCATTTATTATCTGTGAGCAATAACTGCATGGAATGGGCTGCAAGGCAAGTTCACTGAGGTATCACATTTGGATTGAGAGAGATGCCATTGAGTGAGAAAGCCAAAGCCAATGCTATGGGTGGGAAGGAGGATAAACTACTCTGAAAAGTTTGGTTTCCAGTTTGGTATCTTTAAAATATTCCTTTAAAAGTGGAGATAAACAGCCCAAGACTGGTATCAGTTTTCCACAGGAAAGCTGAGGGAGGGAAGAGGAACAACACTTTAATAACTTCAGAAAAAAACTAAGTATCAAGACACTTTCTTACAGCACTGTGACTTAACCACAGCATGAAGAAATGTATTTATGAGCAACCACTCTTGTTCTTGGGAGAATTGGGAGTCAGAAAGAAAGGAAAGTGATCATTTCTTAAACACCAGCCTGACAAAAAATGGACTGAAGTAAATAAGGCACCCTGAAACTCTAGTAAAATATTGCTCAAAGGAAAGTGTATTAGCAAGGAGGCAAACCACAGAAGAGAAAATTCTCTTTTACTATTTTGGGAAGCTACAGCAAGTCAATTTATCTCTAGTTAAAATGCATTTATACAATGAAACACGGGAGTCAGTTCAGTTCCCTCAGCATAGTAGTCTGGGGGACCTGCTGGGAGTAAAGCTTATTATCCTCCCAGGGATCTGAGCAGTCGTAGTTCACAACCAATTTGACTTAAGGAAAAACACAGCTGCTATTTTGAAGGTTTCCTGCTGTGTAAGAAATAATTAAGGCTGTACGATCAGTATTCAACAAAGCATAAATAGCAGAGATGCTAAATTAATTCTATTTGGAAATAAGGAGTTAAGAGAAGCTACATTACAGAACGGACTACATAATGTTCAAAGGCAAAAGAGGAGAGTTAAATGAGAGGAAGTGTGTGTCAGAGGCCAAACTCTCTATCCTAACTACGCAACCACAACATTATTTCATGTTTTAGAAGTCCTTTACTCAAGAAGTAGAAAGTACAAGTTCCAAAACAAAGCAACGAGTTTTATTCTGATTTAAAATACAAAACCAAAAAAAGGAGCAGCAACTGAACACACTTATCAATGTAAAAACTGAAAAAACCAGACTCATTAAAAACTCTACTACCAATCTGGTACTATTTCTATCTTATGCAGAAAAATGCAAGAGATGGCAACGGCAATCCGAGTAATTCAGGGCAGTTCATCCTTAGAGCATCCTGACCTGAGCTTTGATGCTCACCCCACACAACCCTCAAAGCACAAACTGCAGCAGGAATTGCCAGCCCAGGAATGGCACTGTCCGTGTGGGCACTGGGAGGTCAGTTTCTGATCGCTGGAGCACAGCCAGCTGGAGGAACACATGACAAGAAGCCCATGCCATCCCAAGAGCTATTCCTCATGTCCTGTAGGAGCGAGGTGGTGAGACAGATGGCTGAGCCCCGGACTAGAGTCAACCCCCGAGTTGTCTGTCAGACCAGACACTGTTAAGTCATTAGGATGCTAATAGCTTTAACACTGCTTAAAGAAAAAAAAACACCCACACTCAAAACTTCACACCCCACAGTTCTTGCTAAATAGAAGGCTAGACTTGCACCTCCTAGACAGGAGGCAAACAGACAATTAGAAGAGGGCTGAGACATCTGCTGAAGACAGGGATTCTCCAGGGAAAAGCTAAGGATCATGACAACTCAGGTTTGCACTAGCACTGCTCCTTTAGCTAACAGAAAGCAAAGCTTAGGTTAGGGATAAGTTTTACTCTACTGTCAGGATTTACATCCTCTGGTTGAGGACATTGTAGATGCCATCTGCTTAATACTCAGGTTATTAATTTTGATTTAAAACGCCAGGCCATAATTCTTCAAATATATATATATATATTAAATAAGTGCTTTCAAAACAGCTGATTATACTTGTGTATTCTCTGGGGCTTGTCTTATAAAACAAATATGAAACTCAATTATTCCATGATTTCAAGTTGCTCTGGCTCATTTTTCCAGCTTCCCAGACAGCTTCTAACTTCCAGGCTTGAAAGAATTGTTCTTCTACCTTCCTAAGCACACACTGACAATGCTGCTACTGCCCCCCTAAAGAAGCTGCTGAATCCCAGCTTCCTGGAAAGCAGGATCTGTGGCCACATATACGTCAAAAAATAAAACAGACCAGGGCACACAGCCACGTTCTGGGCTTGGAACCAGCAAACACGTTACAGCTTGTAGCTGGACAACTAAAATCCTACTCCTCCATACAGCCCAGCCAGAACCAAACAGACTTTTGGAAACAGTCCATCGTCTCTCCCAACCCCAGAACTATGCTTGGGCATTATCTGGGAGATTGTTAGCTGGCATAGAACAAAACTGTGTCATGAGCAGGACTAAAAATGTAACAGTAGAGTTGCATGCCATACCCACTCCTTATTTAGTTCCTGCTATGAACATGCATCACAAATACAGTACTCAGTTGTTTCTGGAGAACATCACTTTTATTAGTTAATATGGAAGTTAATTCCATAAACGGCCAAAGGTGTTTCAGCATTAACAGATCACCCTTGCCTAGGTGGCTGTTGCTTTCAAATCAGGGAAACAGAATCACAAAATCATGTAACATCTGAGCATTTGCGTTTCCACAATGAGTATCATATGCAGCACACGAGAAAATCTGCACTCTCTAGGTTTTGGAGCTTTTTAATGGGTTCAGATGGACTGAACATGAGCATGTGATTTCTTAATTTCGGCAAGCCTGGACTGCTGCCAGTACAACATTAGTCCTGATTGTCAGCTGGTATAAAATGGGCATAGCTCTATCAACTGCATTCCAATGCACAGCTGAGATTCTGCTTCTCCAAATTTCACCCACACAGGAGTGATGGGCAAGGAAGAAATTCATCTTACAAGATCAGCGTTTTAGGAACAAATCTGTGGGTTTATTTCAATAATTCACAAAGTTATATATGTCTTCAAAAATTTGGTTTTCTACATCTAAGTCAGAATTCTCAAATTAATTACTTTTTAAAAATTCATGCAAACCTGAATTGAAAGCATTTACCCTTATTTTGCATAAAAAGGAACACGAGCAAGAAGTTGTTGTAAAGACAGGCATATAAAACTTTCCAAAGGAAAACACAACTACCGTGGTGCAAATATGGACATAAATATTATACTTGGCAAGAATTACTGTGTGTGAAACTTTGTATAGATGTGATTATGTAGTGTCATAGGGGACTGAAAAATCATTCTGACAATACAAAAACATACAACCCTTTCACAACTGCTGACCCACAGATCATCATCCTCAGTGCCAACTCCTCACCTTGGAGTCTTAAGTGCAGTGGCACTGTGTACTGGGTTTCCGTGGCCAGGTTTTGGTAGTGGGGAGGGCAGTGAAGGGGAACAGGATGGGATGACACAACTTGCCACTGGCCAAGGCCGACCCCATCAGTGATGGTGGCAGCACCTCTGGCATAACTGACTTAAGAAGGGGGGAAAATCTGCTGCAGAAGAGCAGCTGAAGAGAAAGTGAGAACATGAGCACAAATAGCCCTGCCAAGGCCAATGCAGAAGGAGGGGCAGGAGGTACTTTGGGTGCCGGAGCAGAGATTCCCCTACAGCCCCTGGTGCAGCCCATGGAGAGGCAGCTGTGCCCACAGAGCCCATGAAGGACCATGGGGGAGCAGAGATCCACCTGCAGCCCATGGAGAGGCAGCTGTGCCCACAGAGCCCATGGAGACACACAGGGGAGCAGAGATCCACCTGCAGCCCATGGAGAGGCAGCTGTGCCCACAGAGCCCATGAAGGACCATGGGGGAGCAGAGATCCACCTGCAGCCCATGGAGAGGCAGCTGTGCCCACAGAGCCCATGAAGGACCATGGGGGAGCAGTGATCCACCTGCCGCCCATGGAGGACCCCACAGTGGAGCTGTGGGTGCCTGAAGGAGGCTGTGACCCTGTGGGAAGCCTACCTGGAACAGGCTCCTGGTAGGACCTGTGGCCTATGGAGAGAGGAGGACATTTGCTGGCAGCACTTGTGACCCCATAGGGGACCCATGCTGGAACAGCCTGTTCCTGAGGGACTGCATCCCTTGGGAGGGTTCACACTAGAACACTTCATGAAAAACTGCAGGCCATGGGAAGGACTCGAATTAGAAAAG